TTGAAGTCATTAGCAAACCTGGAGGCACCTTCTTCATATTGTATGGGAATATAACACTAAGTGGAATAAAACTGAATGTTTGCAATTACCGATTGCGTCGACAAATTCTGCAAAGAACTATCCCGAATTTTTCAGTATATAGTATACTTCAACTAGGCTTGCGGTGGTCCCGAGATGTAGTCTTGTGTCGTGTGGGGAAATATTCTCGAGAAATATATTGTTCGCTTAGTATAGTTCATCAGAAGCCAAACGCGTATTGCTTTGGAGTTGTGATTATAGACAGGTGCTAATAAGCCCTCAGCGCACGGTTCAGCAGACGCGATGAATCTATGCTGAACCGTCGCCTTCCACGGGGCAGACAACGTCAGAGTAGATACGATGAGAAAGTTGGTTTCGATGAATCTCCTGAGATAACATTGTTAGGGGGACCTTCATTTCGAATGAAATTGCATGAAGAAGAGATTCGTTGGTCGATCTCACCAGATGAGTACGGATGAAACTCATTGTACTGCAGCCGTTTGGCTTTTATACGATATTCATGTTGACGCAGTCCACGAGACTTCCTTTCTCGTTTCGGGTGAAAAAGTGTTGAGCTTTCGTCCATCATATGATGGACATCATCAACGAATCTCTTCTTCATGCGCTTTCATTCAAAATGAAGGTCCCCCAAGCAACGGTTTTTTCGTTTTATTGCTCGATGAGTGTCCCTAAAGCATGGTTCCTGTTCTGATGACTTCTGCCACCGCGATAGAGGTGAAGGTTCAACAGGGCTCCATCGAGGTCGAGGAATAGTGAATTGTTCGCACAAATCTACAGTCACGACTCCCTCGGCCTCCGGTGAGACCAATTTACGAGTCCCCGTTCCAGAGTAAGGAAATCTGTGTCAGCGTCACTTTTGCTTACTTTATGCCGAGAGGATCACCGTGTATCTCCATCCTCCAGCCGAACTTCAATAGGCAGGCCTCGTAGTCTCCAGGAGTCAGCTCCTGTCGAACATGCACTGTTTCCGGTCCAGATTTTGCGTCGCTACCCACTTTCGTCTCGCCTTCCGCGGCTGCCGTCGTGTTCAATCGGGTCCCAGTGCTAGCCGTCGTTTCGGTCCGTCTCTTCTCACCGTCCTCTTCGTCATGTTCTTCCCTTCGCCCGCGATCGGTCGGCGCTGTACTCGAGCCATTCGTAGTCCGCGTCGTGGAATGCGGCGCACTGACTGGCCGTCGCATTTGACCTCGCCTCGAAGCACCGATTTCGACCTCGGCCAGACTTGTCACTCGCACTGGCTCACGAATGAACGCACCGACTGTCGCAGAAGCCGGCCTGCCTCGCCGGCTTGCCTGGACCAGGTCTGTTCTGGGAGTGGATGAAGCGCAAGCCTGAACAGATGACCGACCTTCTTGCCGGCTTCCAGAATCGTCACCTCCATCTGACGTCGACTCCATCTGTGGAGTGCGGATAAAACGGAGCAGATCACAGTTGGACTAAAGGTAAAGTGGCCACTCAAGCAGGCACTTATTGAACAAAAGAAATCCTTACAATCTTTTACGCCTGGCTCGAATGGAGGCATGGACAACGGTGTATTCTGACAATGAGTCGTTTTAGCCAAGGGAGAAATGGCAGCGTACAGGAAACAGTATAGGAGTAAACAGTAGCCTTACTCAAACGACTAATTCTACTAATACTAAACTGCAATGGCTTATTCGGAAAAAGATTAGGGCAATGCACATGAAACTTTTTGCCCGAACCAAGGGAGAGCCTCTCATATCCTCGTCGCAGATGAGCGTCATGACTACAAAGATTCCTTATATCTGAAGTGAGTAGGTTGTCAAATTACCAGTAGATCTTAGTGAAAGTGGTATTCACCCTAAGTCGCAAATAGGAAAAAGGGTGAATATAGCCCTTACATCAATTCTACTGGTAGTCTGGATATCCTCATTATAAAATGAAAATAAGCAAGATGTATGAGTTGTATTCACCCTATTTCGTTTTGGTTGTTGAATTTTTCCATGATGATATGAATAGACCTTACCTTGCCACTCAATTTTACTTGGCCTTGCTTTCCAAAAGGTATTCTTATTGGGGGTGGACGGCAGTTTCATTCTCGACTACATCTCATCAACACCTACAACGGGACTCGAATCATGATAGTGAAGCATGTGTTCTCGACATGCTAGCCACCACGCCACTGGTGTCCTGGGATCACAGGAGAAATGTGAATTTCAAGGAAGGCCAGACATTTTTCCATATCCCATTCTGAGGTTGGGTTGTAGATTTTTATTTTATAAGTAGGTTTTAAAGACTATCATTAGTGCATATAAATGAGATGTATTTACACTCTTTCGTAGACCATACATTAATGTGTTGAGATTATGCGCTGCTCTGCCATGGTTCGAGTCCCGCTGGCGGTGTTGATCAGACCTAGGCAAGGCCGAAACAACAGTTTACCTTGGGGGCGAATACATTTTGGGAAAACAAGGATATGTGTGAGTAAACGAGAGCACAGAGTTGTGTGAATAGGTTGATGGGCCATATGATGCAGGGTTGATGGAAATTAATGCAACACTAGAAGGTAGAACGGAAAATAGGGACGAGGAGTGATGTCACAACGGTTGATGAAGGGAATTATCTTTACTTGTCAGTTTGATAGGTTGTATCTCTGTACTGATGAAAGCACTTCTCACTGACGATGTCGGCAAAACGTTTTGGAATGTACCAAGTCAACAATCCGATGCTGGAAATCACGAACACTATGGCAGAGGACACAGGACTAGGTATGTTCCACAAGGTCTTCCTGACGCTCCGACCAAGTTCCGAAAACTAGCTCGAATCAATACCATAAAGTTAAGGGAGACTACAACCAAATAGAAGGCCACACCACCTTGGTCGTCATAGATACGACCTAATTGCTGTGGTAAGGTTGCCAGCCAATGCATTGATTATGGCAAATCAAAGTAAACAATCGTAAGTAAAGCTTGCCATTTGGCCCTTATTAACAGTTATAAACGTTATGGCATTCCTCTTAGTTTTTGCAATTTAATGAGAAAATATCATTCCGATAGGGTCAATGATATAGTATATCAAGCTTCTTGCAAAATTACAGGAGACATATTATAGGAAGAGGGGAAATTATTTATGTTTTTAGATATTAAATCTAGACCCAGGCATGATTTGGGTCAGATTCTCACCCCGGAGGATTTCCTGGAACTACAGAAGAGGACAGACAAATATCGAAAAGGATATTGGACTTAAGCTAAAAAGGTACTAGAAGAAGCAGAATAAATATGGGATCTATAGGTGGCCCAAGGTGCAAAAAAGAAGATGATTCTAGAATAACAGATCTCGCAGTCCAAACAGTAGATGAATATAAAGCAGTGAAACTGTCTTCAGTCCCTCTTGACCTGGAAACCACAATCCTCATGAATTGACTAAAGTTTGCACTACGGAATGAAAGTGAGGAAATCGAGGACATTTTATTGGAGGCAATAATTCTATCTGAAGGAATCTGAGAAATCAAAAAGAGAGATGGAAATGGAAATTCATCCCAACAATATTAATACATCAAGAACCCATGGATAGGTACGATATAACCAAGATATATATAGGTTGCTTGACCTTGTTTTCGCAACATGGTCGTATTGGAAGGAAGGGTTAGAGAAACGCACCTAGTCCGGAGTCAATTGTATGCATGATCATTTCCAAAGTTGAACCGTGGACGTGGTGCATTCCAAAACGTTTCGCCGGCATCATCAGTGAGTATCGCCAGTCTTAGCACCATACAACAACGCGTTAGAGACAAGGGAAGCCGATCCTTTGACCAAGCGTGTACTAAACAATTATGGTATCTCCCCTTCCGCCCTGCGTTTCCGGAAGCATCCTATCATGCCTTCACTATTACAATTTTTACCGTGTTTATTTAGATATAGTGTGGTGCGCTCCTTTGAGCGACATGTAACTTTTACACTCCAACTGTGGTTCTCCCCCCCTTTCATTGTTGTGCAGGGAATGTTTATCAGCGTCTGCTTTATTATTATGCAGTCCTCTTTCCTAGTCTTATCCCAGTCTCTCTCTTGCTCCGTAAAATCCG